ATGAAGATGGTTAAGTCAGTTTTCCACATTACTGATACTGCGGAGGCGCTACATCGTCGTACATAATGGATCAAACTTTGAAGATCGCGGGTCGAGCGATAAAGTTTGATTTTGAATATCCGACAAAAATCGGACGGATCGGGCCGTGATTTCGCCCTGCACCATCGTCAGTACCACCATCTGCCCTTTAGCGTGACCTGGTTGACCTGTATCATTCGTTGCTGCCTAGTAGCGAATATGGATTTTGATACTGTACTGGCTTCTCTATCCACGTGAATCGTGGGGCCACTGGGACATGCTTTGAGCCTCATCAGTTATCTTTCCGGCCTACTGGGAGTCTTACTTACCAAATTCTGGGGGAGAATAATAACTTTGGCAGCACATGGACGACGCGTGTCCTTTCGTATGGTACCGTCAAATCGTGTATCCTGATACCCTTCTCTCGGAAGTTTTCTGGGGGCTATCTCGAACCTGTCACAGATTGGAGCGTGGACATCCTCTTCTACCCACAGGCTGTTGATCTTGGTTCGGAATAAAAATCTACCACCAGGCTGGCACGCCACTCAAAGCTCATGGCAGAAATTTTTATTGACCGGAGAAACGGTGTCTTTCGTGTGGAATTTAAGCTGGATAACCGGCATTTGAAGCTCTTTACATATCCGATGTCAGGGTTGGGGATGCTCACGGTAATCTGACGACTTCCGTAATGCGGGTATGATACCACCTAGTGACCGAAATGAAAGATTCCTGTGTTCATTGCGATTGGCCATAAAAGTCTTGTTGGGATTCGTGTCCTTCAAAGCTCGATGCATCTGCATGGATACCGTTAGTAATACCCTCACCGTCTGGCCACGTTTTTGACTGAGTACACGATCGACGGCACGGTGAGTCTGTGTGACTGTCCCCCTTTTTCTGCGTCTCATACCTTGTTCCTTTTATCACAATAAACGATGTCAAGATTCAGAACCTTCACAACAAGTGTTTCCTTTCATTTCTACTACTCCGTTTTGTTAGCACCTATTCGCATTCAGCGTAGCTCGGTCGGTACCGCAAGAGCACCCCTTCAGCGTATCAGGGCGATTGTTCAGGGCACATGCGTACTTATTCGTCATGGAAATCCGGGGTAGAGATGTTATCAATGAATTGATATTCCAAGGCTTTGGCGCCGGAGTTTGAGAGCGCGAATATCAAACACGAGGCCATGTCGATTCGCGAAAAACGGAGGTTCATCATGCAGAAACAACTTACATAAATCCCGTTGAAACTTGGAAACAGTTTGTTGAAGCAACCCTTGTAGGGAAAATAGCCCCTAATGGTCGGAGATCACGTGATTCCGAGGACTAGCGCGGCCAAATTGAAACGGAAGAAGGAAACTACCCTTACTCTTGTACCACTATCACCATTTCTGCATTTCTCCCTTTTCTTCCCTTAGAGGACACTGAATTTGACGTGCCATGTCTTCAACGTCACCTCGTTACCCGCCACCAAGAGGCTGTCCACCTCGACCGCCCACAATTGACGACCTTGCAGCGCGCGCCGTCGTGTCACAGGATAACCGGATACCTATCAGGTCTTTATTGAAGACTGCAGATACCTGGCGCAACCGAGGCCAGACCTATGAGGAGCAGCAGGACCTTCAAAATGCATTCGTCGCTTACGCCAGTGCCGGAAAACTAGCATTGGAGGTCATTGCGGTTCACCCTGATTACGACAGGACACTCAGCGAAGAGCAGAAGTTATCCTTGGCGAAAGTGAGTGCGCCTGCTCGTTTTCTTAGGCAACCAGGTTACGGGCGCTTGATTTATTTCATTATAGCATGTTCTAATTTAATTACTTTCTTAGAACGGTGAACGTATCCTTGCCGACCTCGCAGGAGTCAAAGAGAAACTATTAAAACAACGGGAAGAATGGGATCGCAAGTATGGCGGTGCAACGCAACAACCGGATGGAGGTCATACCCCAACTCCGACATCACTTAGTCGTCAAATGAACAGTTCGCAAGGAGGACGGACCGACTCTTCGCGTATAAACTTACCTCAAGAACAACAACGTCAGTGGCGCGATGAAGAAGCTATGCGGAGAAAGCAAACTGAGGACATCAATCGACAGATAGCAGAGGAACGCGCAGCCGCCGGGGCGCCAAACGGCTACTCTGATAGGCGTACTGCTGCAGTCATGGATGCGGCACGTCAGGCTGCAGGCGTTACACCTCCAGCAGCAAACGGAGCTAGTTCTCAGGCTAATAATCAGGAGGAAAAGCGTAGGCAGCAGCAAGAGGAGATGCGTATCCGGTCCGAGCAAATCGCGCAGCGAAACGAGGAGAAGAGACAAAAACAGCTGCAGGAGATGATGCAGCGACAGCAGCAGGCAGAGAGGAACGCGCAGAATGAACGGAGAAGGATTGCAGAGAATAACGCCGCAACGTTTATCCCGCCTCCCCCGGCGCTACCTCCTTCGTCGTTGACCATGCGTGAAGCCATGAGCGCGCCACCGCCTATGGCCATGCCCGTTCCGTCGAAGTCAAGCCAGACCTTCAATGCCTCTTCATCGTCTCAACCACCGTCCCAACCAATTGCACAGCCGACCGCCCGATTTCCTGCATCTTCCGCATCAGTGCAGAATACTGCAACATTGTACCACCAACTTCCTCAGCTTCCTCCTATGCCACCACCTTCCAGTTACCCACCGCTTCCAACAAATCGGTCTGCCCCACCCGCAGGCCCTTCGCGGACCTCCGATATTGCGGCGGACTTCTCTCAATTGAATATGAATGATGAACCCCGGATGATGCCCCTTGAAAGTCCGACTCGGTATGAGGGCGATTCAACGGACTCTGAAGCACCGCAGCAATCATCGTCGTATCGTCGCGCACGGCAGAAACACCAACCGTATATCGATAACAACCGAACGCCCACCAGGGCGGCCCCTTCTCGGTATGTATTTCAGCACCTATTACCCTTTTCGTGACCTTGAACGTGTTTGGCTAGACCCTTATATCCGCCACCGATAACCACGACTTCACCGGCACCCGTTAACGGAGGCCCAATACAGTACCCGCAGCTTATGGACCCCCATCAAAAGACGCAAGGATACTCACCTTCCCTCAACTCCATGTTCTGCTCCACTAAAATTCCCGCCGTCCCTTCCTCAATCCTCTTCGAGCAAGGATACCCACACAGGTCTCAACCATTATACCCCCCGAATTTCTTCCCTCACCCTTCAGCCCCGCCGCCTCCACCAGTCGATTATCCCAATCCTGCTCAACGCCATGGTCACCACCACCATAGTTCGCGTCCTCATCTTTCCCGGTCTGACTCGGATCGAATACCACGGCCAAGCCCATCTTCGCGGGAACTCAAATACGTGAATATGCCCCGCGAGTGTTTGCCGCGTTTCATAGCGATCGCGAAAGTTAACACGATGATAAATCGAGAAACCTGTGGACTCTTACTCGGGAAGGACAAGGGCCACAAATTCGTTGTTACGACGATGTTGATACCGAAGCAGCATTCGACGAGTGACACGTGTACAATGGACGGAGAGGAGCTGGTGTTACGGTTTACTGAGGAGAGGAACCTAATTACTCTCGGATGGGTGAGCGTTGTTGCCGTTTATGTCTTTCTGGAGGCATCCGCTGATAAGCCTCGTCTGATAGATTCACACACACCCCACACAAACCTGTATGTTTTTAGCTGTTTACATCGAGCCATTGTCGCTAATTAGTGTCTCCATTCTGAACAGGCTTTATGTCTTCTGTCGACTTGCATACCCACTCCGGGTTTCAACGTATGCTTCCTGAATCCTTTGCTGTCGTTTGCGCACCCAGACATAACCCAAGGTACGTCTTCTGATACTGAGATGGTTGACTGGGAGCTCATCGCCTCATTATTACAGCTTTGGTATCTTTCGCCTTACGGATCCCCCGGGTCTGCAGACGATTTTGACCTGCACTGCTAAAGAAGCATTTCATCCCCATCCGGATCAACCTATATATACCGTATGTGTCCATTCTGCGGATTCTGGCCCTTATGATTGACATATGTCGCCAGGACGCCGACAAAGGACATGTTCAGATGAAAGAGGGTATGTCGCTGGAGATTGTGGATTTACGATGACGATTCAGTCAGCTGTATTATTTGTATCAACGCTGATCTTTATCGGAAGATTTATGGAAACCATCTTTTTACCCCGACGGACAATCTGATGTAATGGCAGGGCCGTCCAAGCCTCATTGCATAGTATGTATAATGGTCACTCCGGGTCCCAAGATATCAGCTGGTGATGCCTCTCACGATGAACTTCTTCGCTCCCACCAAGTGTCACAACAGTTCGAGTTTTTATAGCCTCGCTCTTTTCAGTACGACACTGCCCTTGGGCTATTTAGTTCTGGGTCCTCCTTTGAACTTGGAGGTCAATCACTCTCTTGCCTCCAGATCATGAATCATCCTTACAGCGGGTCGGCAAGTTATATCTACGCGAATGAAGTGCGTCCGATGATCCTTGAAAGCGCTCCAATCAGGTCTCACTTTTTCTTGGACAGTCCGCGCCTGGCCCAAGCTGGTATGGCCCGTATTCGCATATGAAGAGTTTCGCTCCGGTGGGTGGCTGTTCTGCGTCTGTCGGAATGCGCTGGCAGAGTTTTACCTCGGCTACCTACCTTCTTCATTTGGTTTAGGAAATGTCCTCGATGGAGTCTTTCCCGGCCCATTGGGTTCCGCCTCGGAGTTCGAGTGGACATGGTCCCGTGGAGCAGTGGCCGTGGTTGAGGGAAAAGGATATGTTATCGTTCAGTGATCCGAAGCCGATGTATGTGTTGACGTTGAAGAAATGGAGGGAGACGATTCGTGTGCGTGTTCTTTGTTACTTCGATTTGTAGCATTTCTTTTATGTTCCATTGTAGATTCGTGTATTGTGCGCGATGCGGAGACTTCGAAGATGTTGGTATATCAATCATTGATGCTAACCGATTATTATATGCAACAATTTAAAATGTTATGTCGGCATTAATGGGGTAGTGGTAACCTGGGTCGTTGCCATGTGTATATCGACCCGCCGGGGGTTCAATTCCCCCTTAATGCATATTATTTTAGCAGTGTACTTTTTCTTAGATTGAAATGTTGGAACCTATTCCTTGAAATTTGGAAGTTGGTATTTGGAACTTGCTAATTTGGGATAATTCAACACCCAGAATTTCAAAACAACGGTAGAGTTGGATGGACAGTGAGAAACTGTATTAACGAGAGAATGGATTCTGGAACTTAGGGAAGTTCTCCGATTAGGTATGTAATCTTGATATCAATAATGGTCAGGAATCAGAACGAAAATATGATCTGTACTTTACCGATCCTTAACGACTGAGATGAGCGAAAATATAGTTGTAGCTTTGTGTATTGAGACGGCCCGCGAGCATATATACTGTACACTACTGCGCGACGGCAACTGCATAGTCAGTGTAACCCCTTCCACTGGTATCTCCACGAATGTAGAAAGTGGGCCTGTCGTAGGGGGATAAAGGGATTCTGTGCTTCAACCGCAAAGTGATGTCGGGCTAGAGGATAAAGTTAATGAACTCATATATTTGTCGTAGCCAGTAAGCGCACGTTTGAGATAAAGTATCGTCCGAAGGCAATGATATCACCTTGCGTATCTGCCGTAGCCATAGCGCTCTCCCTCGTGTACGCCCCTGCTGAAATAAGCGGGCTGGGAGCCCAAATCTCTCTGATGAAATCATTTGATTCGTTCGGCGGCACCACGTCCCGGGTGAACGGACCACTGATTCTAGGCTCGACAACGTGGATGTACGCCAAGTTCGGATGCCTTTCTTTGATTTTCAAAATCAAATGAGAGAACGTCGGAACCGGATTCTCCATGCCCATGTCTGGATAGAGGTCAGTAGGAAGCGATTTGACCGCCTGTGAAACAAGGGGAACTTGCCTTGAAACGGTGCCCAAGGGCTCACTCGAAAGCCAGTCCGTTCCGCTCCTACGGCCTCCACTACGGCGTCGATTACCTCTAGAGCGAACCTGACCCTATTCTCGATGTTCCCCCCGTACTCGTCCGTCCTCTGGTTAGACACGTCCTGTATAAACTGGTCAATCTGGTACCCATTCGCACCGTGAATCTCTACGCCGTCAAATCCGCCCTCGTATACAGCCTTGGACGCGCCTTCAGCGTACATTCGTACATATTCTCGGATCTCCTCGACGGTAAGTTCTCTTGGAGTCTCTTCCTTCCCTGTCAGCCTTATAGGCGACGGCGCGGTATACGGAAGCGGTGGGTCCTCCTCTCGTAGTGAAGTGATGTCCGCCGCGCGCCCGAGAGACCAGATTTGACAGAAAATGAAGCTTCCCTTGGCATGGACGGCGTCTGTGATCTGCGTAGGCAGTGTATCAGTTTCGAAGTGATGATTGTAAGATAAAACGGGGCAGGTACCTCTTTCCATGCGCCAAGCTGTTCTCGACTCCACACACCAGGATTGTAGTCTCTTCCGACGGCCTTCTGCGCAATCCATACCGCCTCTGAGATAAGGAGCGTTCCGGGGTCGCTTGCACGCTGGGAGTAGTATTCCTTTACCACAGAGACATGTGGAACACGGGTCTTCTGGGTGGCTCTGTATCGTGTCAAGGGTGCCATCACGATCCGATGGCTGAGCGTCATATTACCCACATTAACAGGCTCGAAGAGTTTTGAAGACATGGGTAAAAGGATGTGAACGTTTCATTAAATGAAATTAATTTCTTATCATGATTTCCGAGTCGAGTAGCTGGGTTCTGGTGGAAGTATTTCGGTCTTGTCGGACCATCTCCAGGGACCACGGAAGTTGTCTGCCTCGGCCCGTGAACAAGCGAGTTAGCAGGGAATTTCGGTAGGGAAAGTATCATACTCAGCGAAACACCATGCAGATGATTTACATTCTAAAAGAAGAGTGAACATTTGACCGAGCCGTTAACTCCGTCCCGGAAGGCCTTTACTGCGGAAACTCCCGCTTAAAAGTAGGTATGACGAGGTATGACGGAGGAGCACGTAGCTGGTGTCCTGAAAACAAAAGACAAAAGATGTAACCAATTCCTTCAGCTTGGAACGCGGATTACAAATTACTCAGCGTCAAAGTGTCAGTAACCACGTCTGCTAGTGCTAGTAGCCGCTGGGAAACGATATACTTTCTCGAGGGAAAGCCATGCCTGGACCCGCTTCTCTAGCGTGCGCCGTAGCATAGTGACAAGGTTCAAGAGTCAAGAATGAAAGATCGGATCGATCAAAGCCCGGCGATTTCCGAATCCTCCACATTCATTCATTCGAGCGGGACAGTACATTATCATTAAAGGCTCCGCGACCGATCAACCACCATAGGGTGTTGGCAGGGGCTATTTGGTCCCATTTCTTTTTGCGTGCTTGATCTTCTGAATAAAATACTTGTTTCCCGTACTTTTCCGCGCTACTGATGTTTGCCACAGCGTGGGTCGGTCTGAGAATAAATCAAAGAAAAAGGAAAGGAAAGAAGGAAAAGTTTGGTATGCTGCTGCTGCATGTTTATGTCGCTCTGTTATGTTACTATGTAAGAGTTGTCACCATTGTTTTTTCCTATCACTCCACCCGTCGACCCTTATGAAACTGATCTTTGTCATAACTCAGTACGTTTGCAATAATCTGTTTGTTGTTTCCTACGAATGAACCGTGCTATACCTATTTCGGGATGGTTTTCCAAAACGAGCTCCGACATAACTAAATGCGTATCTAATATGTTTCTGTCGGCGTTTGCGATTGCTGACCTTTGTTACATTCTAGAAGTAGCCGCCTCATTCGCAGTCGGATAGTGTGGCTCGGCAGCAACACTTCGCGTTTCCAGTTTCTGCACTCGGGCCGACGATCTACACGGCTTTCATACTCCACAAGCTTCCCTATGGTTTACTGATTTGTATTCATGGTACTATGACACACCGTATCTTCCAGACTGTCATCCTTCTCGTCGATTTCTGGTGTTTCGCTATGGTTGGAACAGTGCTTCATATTTTATCCAGGCAGGACGTGTGCAAAGAGTTCGATAGCTGTCATTAACCCGAGTCAGACGTGCCACCCCAAGCGATACTTATATATATGTTAGTTTTCATTGTTGATAATTTCATTGACAATAAAAGAATTTGCCTATAGAAAAGTTTCATCGAGTCAAAACTATTCCATCCTCGTGAGGCACGAAACATTTGAACAGTGCAATTCGGCTTGGATTTACATGACAAAGGAATAGATACTTGTCGGTTTTGAGGGGATTAATATCTGGGTTATCTTTTCTTCCATTACAGTTCCACTGGCACTGCAACAGCGCCGCCGCGCGGGTTCTCCGGTTTGTTGTTGGAGATTTTCTTGATTTTGCGCGGCGGCTTGGGACAGTGAATCGTTGACGGTTTTTGCCACGAGAGGATGTTTTCTACAAAAGTGCAGTCATATTTCATCTTTGCCAACAACTGTGCAATAAGGTGTCGGGAGAAACCGAAGAATCGGAGGCCGGCGCGAAGGTGCCGCTATTTGATTACCTAATCTAACACCTCCGGAAGCAAATAGCAGCAAATACCCTTCTGATAAGGCCGCCCGCGACCGCATTTCCCGCTTTTTATATCCGTCGTCGACGAGGACGATGCGACTCGCTGACCGTCCTGAAGCGCAATGGGCGCGGCATAGAGGTTATTTCTTTCTAGCTTTCGTCTTTATTGTCTTCCTGCAGGCCGGCCTCTGGGCAGAAAGCGGAAGCCATGCTGAATTGGATATCCCAAAATCGGTTCTCTCGGGAGAGACGAGTTCTGTGGCGACCATCAATACCCATCCGATACCCAAACTAATAGAAGCAGCCGAAGAACAGTATAGGGCCAAGGTGTCACAACAGAGCCAGACGCTGGAGGATGCAGTTGCAGAGTATAAACGACGGTACCACCGCCCACCGCCGAAGGGCTTCGATGCATGGTGGCACTTCGCCAAGGACAACGACGTAATCATGGTAGACGAGTACGATGGGTTGATGGAGGACTTTGAACCGTTTTGGAGCATGCCGGGACAGGAGCTTCGTCGACGGTCCCGACAGGTACGCGAACAACGACCCGAAAAACTTTACTGACGACGAACTCCTAGGCTGCCGAGCTTCCATCAATCGACCTTGTCAGAATACGGAATGGCAAGGCGACTCTGCTCAATCTAAACAGGGGTCACGAGAACGGCGATGTCAGCGCCAGAGCTCAGGGATTGCATAGGATGATGGAGAAATTTGTCCATACTGTGCGTGCATTCTACATCTGCTTTGGCATTGGCTCATTTAGGTTACGCTAGTTGCCTGACATGGATTTCCCGGTCAATGCCAATGCTGAGGGTCGCGTTACCGTACCATGGGAGCATAGGAAATACACAAATCTCACGAATCAAGACTCGACAGGCGAGTGAACATACCGTCTCACGTTCTATTAATCTGACATTATTTCCCTTCAGCTGGCGTTGAAAGCATGCTCGGCGGAGAATTCATCCCAGACTGGCGAGGCGACGGCAACGTATGGGAGGCTATGCGGCGAACATGCGAACCTACATCCCCCGCACGCCGTCTGTACGCATCCACCAAGAACGTTTTCTCTGCCCAACCTATTGATTATATGTCCGGAACACAACGTCCAGGCAGTGATTTCAACTTCCTGTCTTCGAGCTCGGCAAACCTCGACTTCTGTACTCTTCCACATGCACATTACCAGCAAGGACTCTTTTTCTCCGATTGGCGAACAATTCCCGTGCTCTATCCGGTGTTTAGTCCGGCTAAAGCTAAAGGTTTCATGGATATCAAGATTCCCAGCCACTATTATTATGGAAGCACCAAACGGTATACCTATGGTTGGGATCCCATCAACCTGGAATTGAAGGAGACCGACGATATGGAAGTACCGTGGGAGCAGAAGCTGGATACAGTCTTTTGGCGAGGCTCTTCCATTGGTGGAGGGAACAACCCGAGTGGTTTCTCTCCCCAGTATCACCGCCAACGGTTCGTCAGAATGGCGTCACAGACCGGTAGCAATAACCGTACTGTGACCTTCGAGGACCCACCATCGTCCTCA